AATCTGTACATGTTTAGTACAGACACAATGTTTTTCAATTATTTTTAGTCCACACCTAAAATAATTGAATCAAACATGTGGGGTTGAATCCAGCATGTGGAGCCCAAGCAAGGACCTGGAGCTGACCCTATTGATTGTCTGAATAATGAGCCCAGAAGAGTCCCCTGTGGCTATGTTAAACCATGAGCACCTGTTCTCCACCATGCATCTTGGCTTCCTGGAATTCCATGAAGATGTGGGTCTCAGGACACATTTCCTCCCTGAGATCAGGGTCACAAGCCCTACCCCTCCTCATAGCAGATGTGCTGAGGTTGTACTTCCTGTGCCCTGAGTTAGAACACAGGGCCTGGGTGTAGACATCTTGCTTGTTAGCTATTAACTACCGGGCACCTTCCAACCCACCATCCTTTCATGTTCTGCTGTTTGATGTTTGGCTGCCCGATCTCATTCCTTCCCCCTGCCCTCCAATTAATTATTTCTCTATCCATTCCGTTTAAAGTCCTCTCATTAGACACAGAGGTTTCTGGGTAACAGTATTCTGATACTGTCATGGACCAAATGTTAAAGTGCCAGGCTAGCCTTGGGCTCACCATAGACCTGAAGAGTGAGAACTATTTATTTAGCCTCTCCCCTGCATTCAGATATACGCAGAACGTAGTAATTCCATGGAACTCTTTTAACAATGGATAGAAAAGACTCTTTGGCTCTACATGGGTCTGTAGTTAAAAAGGAAGAGTAGTTGTGGAAGAATACTACATCTAAACTGATCAAGGTGGCGAGACAAAGTCATGGAATAACAGTTGTTAAGCCACGAGACAGCAATGCAGTCACAGAGCTCACAGCCGTGTCTTTGTCTATTTTCAGTTGCTATAACAAAGTATTTGAGGCTGGATAATTTATAAAGGACAGAAGTTTATTTGGCTCTTGCTTCCAAGAATATGTGCTGGCATCTGCTTAGTATTTGGCAAGGGCTTCATGCTGCATCATAACGTGGCAGAGACAGAGCAAGTGTGCCAGCTTGCGCCTCTCTTCCTCTTCTTATAAAGCCTCAAATGCCATCATGGGAACCCTATCCTCATGACCTCATCTAATCCAAATTACTTCCCACACCTCCAGATACCACCAACATGTGAATTTGGGATTAATGTCCAACACACAAACAATTATGCACATTCACACCATAGCAGTTGACAGACAGGGTCTTCCAAACCTGGCCTGACCATCCTGCCCTATGGGCTACCTTGTACCCATCTATTTGAGCTAACCTCCCCACCTACATTTGACCCCGTGTTCCCAGGATCATTTAGGTTGGGCTGGGCCCTACAGAGGGCACCCATAGAGGGAGACTCTGTGGTGGGTACCTCCTGTCCTGGTGCTAGTGAGAGTTCTCATGAGAAGTGAATGAACTCATCGAGACTTAACATGTCATTGATACCGTTTCGCTGCCTCATATGGAAGTTGAAAACGTCTCCTGTTTCCATTAAAAGAAAAACATCAACAGTGAGTTTTTGGGATTGTGTGGGCTACAGCTGAGCGTGAGCAAGCCTGTGTGGGCTGGAGGTGCCCACTGGACAAACACGTCCACATGCAGGTTGAGCAGCAGAGCCCTGTTGTTTCCGGAGGAGCCTGTCCCGTGGAATCTCGGGAGACATCATCTACCTCCCACACCTGCCCCTCAGAGCCAGCCGTGAGTAGCCACGCACAGAACATTCTGGCTGTGAAGGGAGGTGAGGGGGAAGCCTCCTCTGACATGCTCCCCCTCTCTCAGGACTCTTGGGCCACTGGGCCGTATACCCGCTGCCTGGTGCGGCAGGACTGGAGTTGCCATGCTAAGGCAAAAGAACAGCCTTTGGGCTTCCCGGAGGGTGCGGCCTGTTGGCAGTGTGGTTCTCTGCCAACTTGGAATGTGACAAAGCGGACAACCATGGCAGCTCCCAACAGAGCCCGTGCAGGAGCTGCTGCTGTGGGCAGCTGCTAGTGGACGGGGGTATCCTGCACCTGCAGGCCCAGGAGCGCCATCTGAGGGGAGATGCACCAGGATCACCAGGTGCAGCCCATCTTTGCAATGTGATAATGGAAATGTGTCAGGAAGACAAGTGCCGCAGTCTGGCTGGGCACAATCAGGAGCCACTTGTCAAAAGAAACTAACTTTATTTTTAGAACCACACACGCCAAACAAAACAGCCTCTCAGGAAAAACCCTCAGAGCCTCAACTGCCACCACCGGCTTTCCACAAGCCTCTCTCTCCCACACAAGCTTCTCTCCACCTCCCACAATCCTCCTGCTCTTGAGGCCGATTGGCTGGGTCACGTGGGCGGAGCCAAAAAAGTCCCCCAATGAGCAGCTCCGTGGTCTGAAAGGGCAGGGAAACAGCCCAATGAGCATCACCACAGAGGAGCTAATCAGCTAGATGTTGCTGGGGCCGCTGTGAGCCAATCATCAGCCAGCAGCTGGAAGTTTGCTGGCAGCTGGAAGTTTGCTGGGGCCCCTTCGGCTGTGGCTCTCAACAGTAATGGAAATGGGGGCAGCCCAGAGCCTGAGCTGGTCTGGTGGCAGCAGGAACAGCCAGCCAGGCTGCACAGGTGATTGCTTGCCCGCCTGCCAGGGAGAGCGCCAGTGAGCCAGGCCCTGTGGGGAGAACTATCCCTTCTCTAGGTGCTGCCAGGGAGTAGCTCCTGCCAAGAGAGACCTGGAGCTTCCTTTCACTCTGTTAAACAGACTGAGGGGATTTTTCCTAGGCCAAGTCTGACATCAGACTCTGCCCCCAGGGCGAGTGAGACCCTGGGGGGGGGATGCACCTGGCCTCTCGCCCCATTAGAGGACTTCGCAAAGAAGAGGGTACCACATATACAAGATGCCACAGCTCCACCTGCCCAGCAGGCCAGAGGAGTGGCATGGCTCCTGCTGGTGACCTGGGGTCCGCAACTGGGTCCATACTGGCCTCCACTTCCTGTTTGATCTTTCCCCACTTTGTGACTTTCCTGGACTCCTTGCCCCTCTCTCGCCTCTGAATTCCAGACTCTGCTGGGCCCTGTTTTCCCCACAAAGGCCTCCAGCTGCCCTCAGCAGCCTTCTTGCAATGTCTGAAAAGCCACTGGACAGGAACCACCCCACCTTCTTGCTCTCTGCAGAGCATCTGTGGTAGTGCCCACAGTCACGGTGCCCAGGAAATATGTGGGTCCCGAGCCCCAAATGGTACCCTGAAAGACGAGCTCTGCCAGCCCTGCTGGAGCCCAGAATATCTGAGAAGAAAGCAGAGAGGGGTCCAGAGCTCCCTGATATGTAACTCTGTGTTCCTGGAGGTCGGTCACCCCAAGGGCCAGCTGGCATTTACTTAGCCTCTTCGACTGCTTCTGAAAAGGTGCTGGAGAAAGAATGGAATCTCACAATCATCTACCTAGCACTGTGGCATTTGCTTAACCTGCCTTGTGGCGATAATCCCAAATAGATCTTAGCATCACTTTCTCCTCCTGGACACCTTGTACTCGCAATGCATAGTTCTCTGTCTTTTTTTTTTCTTTCTTTCTTTTAAATCACAGTAAAATCCCCTGTTAGATAGGAACTTAGACTGAGCCAAATACAGACTAAGAAGATCGGGGCCCTGTCAGGCATCTTAAGTGAAAAGCACCCTCCAGGTGGAGGAGTCAGGGGACAGTATTGATCCTAGATGGTGAGTGTGTCAGCTTCTTCACCGCTGTGACCCAAATTATCTGACTAGGGTACACCCCCAGGGACCCGCTTCATCCAGCTACTTCCCACCTGCCTACAGTTACCATTTGGTTAGTCCGCTCAGGCAAGGATGAACCGATTAGGTCACAGCTCTCACCATAGAATCGCTTCGCCTCTGAACATGCCTGCATTGACAAAAGAGCTTTGGGAGGACACCTCATATCCAGACCATAACAGTGAGCTGACCCATCACCTAACCCAAGGCTGTACCCGATGCCCACACAGCTGGGTCAGCTAGTGACTGACAGGGCCACCAGTGGGTGTGTGAGGCAACCCACTCAGGTGCCACCCAGGTGGCACAGCCCAGAAAGAGAGGCCTGGCCTAGCCCACCTGGAGTATTCATTCCCAGTAATTATAGGCTACTCATAGTCTCCAACTGTCATCCTACATTTCCAGATATGTCCCACTCAAAATAAGACTTTCGTCAAAGGCAAGCTCCACTGTGAATCCACGCTGCTATATGGTAGGTTGGGTGGGGGGCCACGGGAAGGAGTGGTATCCTGAATCCTTGCCGAATCCATCCAGGGAAATAGATCTCTGAATCCTCTTGGGTTACAATTCAGGTCAGTGTCTGGTTCGTGACAGTCGTGTCAATTGGAGGTCATCACTGGAAAGGGCTTCCATAGCTCACCCTAAGCAGAGCAGGCTTTGAGCCACCATTAGTCACACCATTAGAAAGTGTGTGTGACCACAGGCTTGAGTTCTCCAGAGGTGTAGGGCAGGCAGGAACCCATGGTCATTGTGAATGCAGGGCCCGCGGGGTCTCAGTGAGGTGGGCCTGCCTTTCTTCTCTGACCTCTTCTCCTTCTATCTCTGCATTGCTGCATGTAGTGGCCTGCAAATGTCAATTGAAAAGGTTGGGATCACGGAGGTGCCTGGCCCCTGTGAAACTCCCCCACCCCATGTCTGAGGAGCCACCTGCCCTCTATCTTGGCTCCCTGGGCCTTTGGGCTGCTCTGGAAACCTTTTTAGTAAACCTACCAATGTGGGCACAGGGGTGTAGCTCAGAGATAGAATACTTGCCTATCTTGCACAGCCTCTGGGTTCGGCCCCCAGCCCCACTCAATAAATAAATAACCCACAGATGTCACTCCTGCCTCTTTCTGTTTTTCCTGCACCACTCGGGCCAAAAGATGCTGTGAGAAAGATTTGACCCTTGTGAACACATCCTTGGTTTGTAAGGGAACGCGACTGGGAGAGCACACAAAAGCCTGACGTGGCATGTGACAGCTGTTTACTAAAGCCCGTTCTGTTCTCTCCTCTTACTCAGCTCAACGACTCAGCCAAGCAGCTCATTGAGATGGACAAGCCGTGCCCCACTGCTGCTGCCGCCACCGCATCCGGCTGTGACTCTCCCTTGCTCTCTGATCCTGGCGCAGGGGCCAGCATGGCCCCGGGCCCCACTCTAAGCAGCTCAGGGGCGGTTAGTGCCTTTCAGCGGCGTGTGGACGGCAAGAAGAATGCCAAGAAACGCCACTCCTTCACCGCACTCAGTGTGACGCACAAGTCCTCGCAGGCTGCTAGCCACAGGCATTCCATGGAAATCAGCGCTCCGGTTCTGATCAGCTCCAGCGACCCCCGCGCTGCAGCCAGGATCGGGGAGCTCGCTCATCTGTCATGCGCTGCACCCACCCAGGTAATGTCCCAGAGCCCAGGGCCAGCCCACGAAGGTTCTCGGGGTCTCCATCCTCACCTTTGAGCCAAGCAGCTCATTTCTGAACTAGCATGAAGGAAGCAACCCTGGAACTGCCCTTGGGGGTAACTGGGGCTCCCTCTTCACTGCCTGCCACGAGTCACCTCCAAGAATCTTATAAATGTGTGCCTGGTACCCTCTGTGTGTTTCAAGGACACCGTGTTGGAGTAGCGGCCACTCAGGAGAAAGTTCCTCCCATCTCACTGGCATTCAGAGTGAATGGCTCTGTCCTGGGGAAAGCCGTGGCTTAGTCCTGGGATGTTCTGAGCATCTCTGTAGGGCTGGCTGATGTCCCTTTCGGCAGAGAAAGGGCCAGAGCTCAGAACCAGAATCAACTGTGCTGTTGAGTACTTTCATGAGTGTTATTTCTACAGATGCCTTTTATCTTTGGACGTGACATTGATTGTGTTTTCCACAGTTTCTTTGTAGATTTAAGTAACCAAAGCAAGATGTTTAAAGAATAGAAAGGAAGTGGTTATCTGTAGGTCTGGAAAAACTGGTCACAGTGGCGAGCAGAAATTGGGCAAGTTTCTCCCTTATGAATGCACAGATCAAGTACAGGAAGGGGGGGCTCTCCCAGCCCTGGCAGGGACGGCTCTGCAGCCACACTGCTGAACTGTCACCCTTTCACATGAGAGACCGGGGAACAGGCAGATGTGCCCACTGGGGTGTGGTCTCCTCCCTCCAAATCCAGCCTTCTCCATGACCGTGTACCTTTGTACAGGTTGAACGTGGGAGTGCCCATTTCTCCTTGTTCTGCATCTTCTCACCTTGAGGTCCGTCTGCAAGCCTCTCTCCATGTTTCCATCAGTGCCCCCCCCTGATTGCCCTGGACATGTCTCGGAACAAGTTGTCAATTTATGTCCCAAACTAGAGAAAACACCAGTAAGCAACTGGCTAGGGAAGGACCATCTTTTTCAAGATTACAGTTAACTCCGTTAACTTTACACAGAGAATTGTCTTTTTAAAAAATTTAAATACTTGAGCTTCTGCAGAATTGCAGTTTGGTTCAGATGTGCCACATTAATCTGAATGTGCCACTTACACACACGGCACACACACAGACACTCATACAAACACCATGTATACACACACCTGTGTACAGCACAGCTTCACATATCCACTGGCGACAAGATATGCATATACACATACTTGCACAAACATACAAATGCACTCATGCTGCACACACACACAACTACGTAGAGGGGGGTACAATTTCCCTAGCATTCACACAAAAATGCTGGTTCTCACTCAAGGTTGGGGCCAGGGTCTGGAATGTGCCGTTGTGTCTGGAGGTTCACTGGCCACTGCTTGCCTGCTTCTTAGCCCTCACAGCTTCCCACTGCTGGGAAACTCCCAGCATCTACACCTTGGACTCTGTGTTCCCCAGGAAATAATCCTTAGAGTTTGTTGGTGCTATTACGGTTTGGATATGAGGTGTCCCTCAAAAGCTTCTGGATTAATGCAAGGCTGATTGGAGGTGAAATGATTGGATTGTGAGACTGCAACCTAACCACTCCATCTTATCTTGAATGGACTTAATGGGTTGTAGCTGTAGGCAGGTGGGGCATGGTTGGAGGAGGTGGGTCACTGGGGGTGTCCTCTGGAAGGGTTCATCTTCTCTGAGACCCCTTCCCCTTTCTCTTTCCTTCCTGGCCACTGTGAGCAGAGCAGCACCCCTCTTCCTTCCCCTTCTGCCATGATGTTCTGCCTCATCTTGGGCCAAAAGCAATGAAGTTGGACAACCATGGACAGAACCTCTGAAACCGTGGGCCAAAATAAGCATTTCCCTCTCTAAGTTGTTCTTTTCAGGTAGTTTGTTCACAGTGATGAAGAGCTGGTACGGGTACATTTTCTATAAGGGGGTAGGTGCAATCTGATCTGGACCCTAACCCTGCCCTCTGACCTCGGCTAAACTCTTAGAGCTGTTCTGTAAGGGGCGCGGAGGCTCAGTGGTCAACACTGCCCTGCTCCTTGGAGCATGCATACCCAGAGGGTAAAGGCAGAAATCAGTGGTTTCCAGCAGGGTCTTGCTTGGTTTTGCTCCAATGTCCTGGAGATGCTGAGTAAGAGGCCCCAGCAAGGCGTGGGTGGTATTGTCATGGCGGTACTAAGACTAGATGGAGTTCGCACTCTGTTAGCCACCACGACCATTAGCTGCAGCAGTTCTGGTCCAGAGCGCTGGTCTCTCCCTGGTAACCTGGGCAGCTGCTGATGACACAGACAATTGAAATCTCTGTTCTATGACACACTCAGTTCAGATGGCAGTTGCAGCAGCGGGGCTGACAGAAGTACTTACGGAGGGGAGTGGGGCGCAGGATCGCTGTCCTGTGCTCCACCTGGGGAGCTCTTTTCTCGCCTTCCTCACTTTTCTCACCCCCACTGCAGTTGGGGACCCCTACCAATAAAAGGGAGGAGGGAAGGGAGAGAGTCAGGAGAGAGGAGTCTTGTTCCTGATCCAAAGGTGGTCCTGGAGCCTCCAGGCAGCGCCAGCCCACAGCCCTACAGCTCGTGGGTGAGGGGTCTAAGGATCACCCCCTCAGTGCTCCCTGGGAATTCTGAAGAAGGAGCCCAGCAGGGCTTTTTGACAGACTTTAGTGGAGCTGCTGCCAAGTCTCTGTGGGATGGGAGCATCTTTACAGGCACTTTTCCTTAGACCCCAGAGTCGCGGTCTCAGCACAGATAGGTGCAGGATCCCCTTTTCTCTCTGGCCTCTCATCCTCACTTGCACTTGGCCCCCCTGTTGCCGAGGCCCCTGTGTTAATACAGCAGAGGGCCCCTTTCCCAGGGCTTGTACTCTGGTGTCTGCTGTAGAGCACCCATGGGAAAGGAAGGAAATTTTTTTTTTCAACTTGTGCACCGTCTTATTCCATAGGGGTCTGAACCAGCTGATTTTTCTGGGTCTGGGATCCCAGGATCCTTTCTTCAGCAGTTTGACTTTTACTGAAGGTCATGAGCAGGCTGTGGACTGTCATTTAGGTCACTCTAAAGGATGAGAGATCCAACAAAGTAGTCACAGCCTGTCTCCCTGTCCTAATTTAGTGGAGCTATTGAGAACGGAAAAGGGCACCCCCGCAGGTGTGGCTGAGGGTGAACTCCTCCTGAGGCTGAAGGGTCCTTCCATGGTCTGGCTGTGCCCAGACACCAAACTCTCCAGATCTGCCCTCTGCTCTGTGCTGTCTTCCTGGTTCCTGTCACTTTCCTGGTCCCATGACTCTGATCAGGAAGTCCCTTGGCCTGAGGACTCATCCAAAGTGGCCAAGGCCAACCAGACCCAGGTCCCACTGCGGCCACAGTAGATTTTTTTTCTCCCCACCATGCTGGATGTGCCCTTTGAGAGGAGCCCCAGCCAGTATTCTGTGGTTAGTGGATGAGACTTGGGCTTAGCCATCAGTGGCCTGACGAAATCAGTATCATTGTTTGTGTTCTCCCACAAGCAGAGGCCTCCTGTGGGGCAGCACCGGCATCATGGGCATGGGCCAGGGTAGGGAGAGAAGGAGGGCTTGCTGCCCCAGGCTCCTCCATGCCCACAGGCACAGGGTGATGCTGAGGGTCACAGCAGCAGGCCCTGCCCCTCATGGGCCCCTTGAGACCCACTCTGTCCATTCAGGCTGTGACATAGAACATCTTGACTGATTGATGAATCCTTGGCCCCTGTGGGCCAGGGGGTGGGGTGACAGGCATGTGAGGTCAGTGAGGATGCTCATCTGGAACCCACGCTGACCCACAGGCATGTGCAGTCTTCAACCTGCCCACCCAGCTCCTCTTGAGCCATGAGGATCACAGGGTTTGTAGGATATTGTGTCAAGTGTCCCAGTGTGGGTTTTTTTTTTTTGAGAGAGAGAGGGGCGTTATGGTTTAGATATGGTGTCCCCCAAAGCTCACATGAGAGACAATGCAAGAAGGTTCAGAGAAGAAATGAGTGGGTGACAAGAGCCTTAATCCAACCAATGAATTAATCCCCTGATAGGGATTAAGTGACTGGTAACTGAAGTGGTGGGGTGCAGGGGGAGGAGTGGGGACTGGGGGCGTGGCTTCGGGTTATATATTTTTATCTGGAAAGGGGAGACTTCTCTCTCTCCTTCTGATCATGCTATGGGCTGCTTCCCTCCACCACACTCTGCCACCAGGATATTCAGCCTCACCTCAAGCTCCGAGGAATGGAGCCAGCCTTCTATGGACCGACTTCTGAAACTGTGGGCCCTTAAATAAACTCTTCCTCCTCTACAATTGTTCTGGTCAGATCCTTTAGTCACAGCAGCGAAATTAGCTGACTAAAACGGGGGGTGCAGCTGTTGTCACATGGATACTGAGCTCTTATTGAACACTGCGCTGGGTTCTGTAGGAAGGTGTACACAGCATGCCATCTGCCCCAGAAGCCTGGCCAGCTGGGAGTGGAAAAGGGACCACTCACTGGGCCCCATGCTAAGTCTCCTCTCGTGGTGAGGCTGGCTTCAGCAGAGGCCCATGGGCAAAATGGGCTCTGCCAGGGCACGTGCCTCGTAGGACGTGGTGCTGCTGGAGGAAGCTGTGTGTGCAGACAGACGTACATCAGAAAGAGCAGCCCAAACAGGCACCAGCTGTGGTGCCCTTTAATTGGCTTGATTCTAAATTCCTGTGTCCGAAGGTGAGTTAAATGCAGACCAGATCCACACCTTCATGGAGCCTCCGTGGAAGCTGATGCCCAGTCTGGGTGGGTGGGCAGAGATCAGGGCAAGGGTCCCAGCTGGCTGAGTCTTCACTCAGCTCTTCGGTGCACCTGACGTGTTTCACTTGCTCTCTCTCTTTTGTGTTGCCTGACAATGGAAAGGAAGAGCGGGGCCTGTGGATTCTCCAGAGGAGACTAGAGGCCATTCCCCGTGTCCCTGCTTCTCAGGCAAGTGCTCTGGGTACTGTGAAGCCTGAGGGTGCACAGCTGTCCAGCTGCTGGTCTCCCTAATGGC